AACATCTTCATCCCCCCCCCCCCTCGGCATAATAAATGTACTTTCCCTTAACAATGTTGATCCTTTTGTATGCAAAAAATTGCATGGTTCATTTTAATTTGAAGCTTTTGTAATCAGAAAAGACAATTTATTACTGTAAATAACACTTTTGGGCTTTAGTGCATGAGTTTAGTTAAAACTGTTATTACGTAGCCGTAGGGTTAATTTAATATAGTTTTATTGTCATTTTGTTACGTAGTCGTAGGCAATACCATTTATGTATATGGGAATGCTTCCAATACATTGTTGTTGTTGTTTAGCTGCGCAAGTTTAAAAGGTGAGGGTATTCGCTTGGGTCAACACTTTGTCAAACGGCATTTTATTTCTATGGTCTGTTTTACGTGTCCAATAGACTTGTGAGATCCTTGTTACTATCATTTATTGTTGCCTGTTGGTGAAGGAGTCAATCCACCAAATAACGAAAAGATTTAAAGATTTTAAAACAGTAACACAAGATTCAAAACTCCGTCTATCAAGTATCAACTACGATTTGTCAGACACAAATCAAAACAGGAACCAAAATGAGACTCGCGGTTCACACATCAGTCAGTCAAAAACAAATACAAATATAAGAAATCGAGCAAAGCTTAACGAATATAAAAACTATAGTTTTATAGAACAAGACACACAACGGTCACATTATAAAACGTTTGTAACAGGAATTCATAGTCAATATTGAAAAGCGCCTTTTCTTTAGCTGGATGGACGCACAAGGATCAAGTTACACGTGGTTACTGTTTGGACTTTTAAAGTTTATCAACTTTCTAAGCGTTTTCAAAGAAATTAGTCATAACATTTTGTCGTACTAATATTTGTAAACCATAAGGCATGATCATTTTCAATAACAGTACACCATAATCGGCATATTGTAAACACTGGACTGGACTTTGGACTTTGGACTATGGACTTTGGACTTTGGACTTTGGACTTTGGACTTTGGACTATGGACTTTGGACTTTCGATTTTGAAGTTATATTATTTTTAAGATTTTCGTATAATTACAGTTGTGCATGATATAATATTCAAGGTAAAAAAAGGCAGGTGTAAAAGTCGGACCGGATCGCCAGTCCGGGTCGGATTAGGTCGGATTAGGTCGGACCAAGTCGGATCAGATCGGATCTTTAGAATATTTAGAAATATCAGGATATTCCGGGAAATGTTACCGTTGTTACCGACACAAATGGAGTTTACTTTATTTTAATGAATTAAACTCAATAGTGAGTACGATATACAAGCTTTTACTTAAATATTATGCATTTGTGACGTAAATTCTGGATATTTGCATACCAAACAAACTGAAATATCTCGGAAACAAAGTGAGCAAACGAAAATCTACAAAATAAGCTATTATATCATTTCAGAAGTTCTTAACTCTTAAGAATGAGATGATAAAAATAATTGAGGTTAGGGGCACTTTAAAAGCCTTGTGTTGGGAAAATGTTATGGAAAGACGGTGAAACTAGATTATACTTTAAGCTTTGCTAATATATTAGTCGAGTCCCATTGTTTGACGTCTACGCGTCATTAGCTGAATTCATATTAGAAGACGGATTTCCGTCCAAGACGGGAAACTCGTCTCAGACCAGAAACTCGTCTTGGTATAAAACGACGGGTTCTCCGCGTTTCAACTTTTCCGTCTAACTTTCCCGTCTGACGAGTTTCTCGTCTTAGACGGAAATCCGTCTTAAATTTATATCAGACGAATAAATCAAGACGGGTTTCTGCTCGTAACGTTCAAAAGAGACTTGGATGGTGAGGGTCTCCTATTTTTTCGAGTTTATCCGTCCGATAGTTTTCGTTTCATACTTATACCAGACGGAATTCAGCTATTGCCATGGCTATTTTAAAATTTTGTGATAATAAAGCTGCATATAAGTTTAATGTCTAATGAAAACAATAGTGTAGATGTTTCTGATCAGAGTTCTGCATCTTCAAATTTCACATGTGAAGCGTGTCATGCGTGTATCTTCGTTTTGGCAATTTGGCACGACCGGACTATCGATTCGGTCATCAATGCGATCCAGTCCGATTTTTATACCTGCACGATCCGACCTAATCCGACCCGGACTGGCGATCCGGTCCGACTTTTATACCTGCACGATCCGACCTAATCCGACCCGGACTGGCGATCCGGTCCGACTTTTATACCTGCCTGGTAAAAAATACTATCAGTTATATAGGTATACCAGTGCAATTTCATAGATATAGCCTGTGGGATAACAGGATCATCTCAGTAATATTTTTAATTTAATATTTAAATTTTGTTGGAATATTTGTATTTATAGTATGTATAGTACAGTTTATACTGCAGAACTTCTTCTTTATCGTATAGATAATAATAGATTTATAGAAACAATTGTGACAAAAGTAGCTTGGCAAATACAAAATATTGAGAAACTAGCACGTATAAGTATAAACTACACGCGATTATTATTGCGCCTTTGGTTTTGAACAATTATTCGCCAAGGCGAGGCCGTGATTATCGGGGAATTTGTAGTCTCCCTCGCAGCCGCCAGTTGTGTACGTTCTCTCTGATGTCTGCAAAGGAGGCTAGGGAATTTGTCAAATTTGACCAATCAACTTGACAACTTGTAGGATTTGTTATATATTTATTCACTTGCGCAAAAATACTAATAGTAGCCTACTAATGACGGTATTGTTCATATCTTTGCATAATAGTTTACACCGGTATAATTAGCGCCTGCCTAAATAGGATGTGTTTACAATGTATTTTGTCTGTGTCAGTTTTAGCTTTTCATAAATGTTTCAGCCATAGTGAACACGAAAACTCTCATAGTCATCATACTTTATAAAATACGAATGTATGATACATGCATTATCATTGGTAGTACTGATTACTTTATGATAATCTATATAGTATTACTTTATGTATATATTTATGTCTATATTATTGTCTATATATATATGACTCTTTTGCGTACGTTATGCGGCTGAGCATTAATCTTTATACTACGATTACGATTCCCTCCTGGTTCATCACTTGCAAGTGGTAGTATTACAGTATAGAACGTGGCAAACAGTTGCTAGACTACCTGAAGCACATAGACATAGATTTTTGCCTTCTCATACACAACTGAGTAGGTCTTGAAGTGTGTAAATTTCCATTCGAATATTCCTGTCCATCTGCTAACACTTATTAATAATAACTGAAGCACATTGTCTTAGTGATAAGGATAGCTAACTAGAATGTCTTTCAAAAATAAGTAACATTAACAAAACGTTACTGTGTAACGGAGTAAACAATTACACAATTCAGTACTAGTATAAACTATTATGCAAAGATGAACAGTCACAATACTCAATACTCAATAGGCGCAATAATAATCACTTGTTGCTGCCGAAGGCAGCCTCCTATTCTTGACGATGTGTTATAGCGCATTTGAATTTCCCGCCAACAGTTTTATATACTGAAGCTCATCTCGATTTTGTGTCGGCAGTTGTGACGTCATATTATGACGTTGCAGTAAGGAATTTGCATTGGAACGTTATCATACCCCAGGAATTCAAAATAGCAAATCGATGACTGCCGAATACTTTGTTTAGCGACTGCGAACGACGTACCAAGTATGGCGTTTAAAAATATTTCGATCAGCAAGACAGCAAGCTTTGTAGCATTTTAACACGAGGTGTCGAGGTCAGGAGCAAAGCAAAGACATACTTTGTATAAATACTGGCCTTTAATACTTCAAGTTTTGTGAGAAAGGGAGATCGTTTAGAGGTATGTCAATTTGCTCGATTTTTTCTTTTCTTCTATTAATTGCTCAATTCACAGCGCGAATTATGTATATCATATATTTTCATACACTATATCATATATTTTCATACACTATTTATAATGAGAAATGTCTGTGTGTACTAGCCTAAAACATAGTCTGTCATACATATTAAGTATTATTATTAAAATGCACCCATGGCTATGAATGTTTAGCTCCTCTGGCTCCACGGTTAAGAGGATTTAGCTTTAAATATATTTCATGTATTAATGTAGCATATTATTCATCACGCAGAATGTTGTGTATAAATATATTCCTATTATCCTATAGCAACCCAGTGTGGATTGTTGTCTGCATATATTAACTGAGTTACCAGCAGTTACAAGGTATGATGGTCAGACTGTAAAAATATACCTAATAATCCTACTGGCCTTCATGTATTCACCATTTCACCTCGCTGTGTCACCACCACATTTCAGGATTTTTGATAATGGGTCATTCCAGAAAAGATCCATACCCCCCCTACGGAGGAAATCGAAAATAACCCCCTCCCCCCCTTCGGACATCCTTGAATGGTTCATCCTCCCCCCCTCTCCGGACATCAAAGCCCAAAATTACCCCCCTCCCCTTCGGACATCCACTATTTCTAAATTTTTCTAAAGGCTACCTCGCTGTTTGAAAACATCACCAAAAATTAGACTACGTTCACACTACACGCGAGCGAACTAATGCGGGCAGAATTTACTTGTGTTCACACTACCGCCATTACAGTTTGTTTACAAATTGAATTAGCACTCGTGTAAACCCAAAATATTTCAAATAGACCCAAGAAATTTAACTGAAAAGCATTCGAGTTTACACGTTTGTGTTCACACGAAGCTATCAAGCGCTCCGCCATTTTCACCTCGCTCCGTTTAGAAACCGTGCTCAAATTGTTACGGCAAAAGTGACGTGAAAGTTTTCAAACGATTTCACTCCAGCGTAGAGTAAATTAGCGATGGCTTATTGTGACTTTTCTACGCTGTTTTCAAATAGCTCTGGCGTGGCGGAACACTTGGCGGCTTCTTGTGACTTGCAAACACAAACACGTGGCAGGTTTTCAGTTTTGTCGGATAATTTGCGAAATTTATTTCGAAATTCGTTCAAGTAAAATTCGGACTGAAATTCGATGTAACTTGCGACTGATTGACAAGCGTTGCTATGTTTAGTGTTTACTTACATGTTAATGCTTTTTTAGTATTACTGCATTCCTTAACCTCGCCCTTAATATGAAAGCCATTTCTATTTTCTAGACATGCACATCGCAAGGAAGCTTTAATCTTTATTGACTGTATACTAAAACAAATTGTTTTCAGTTCAGTTCACATAGCAGTCTCTTAATTCGAGCAACAGTTTAATAACTATCATTTTTAACACTTGAATAATTCAAACTTATATATACGAACAAAAACTGCAAAACTTTACTTTTATATAAATAAAGCGTGTCAATTTTCGACTCATTCTCAACATGCAGGATACGCTGTTACAGCAAGTTAGTTTTTGGGATCGTGACTAAAACACCACACGAGTACATACGAGTAACATACGAGTAACACACAGGTACATACGAGTACATACGAGTAACACACGAGTACATACGAGTAACATACGAGTACATACGAGTAACATACGAGTAACATACGAGTACATACGAGTAACACACGAGTACATACGAGTAAAACACAAGTACATACGAGTAGAATACGAGTAAAATACGACTAGTAAACTTGTTTTTAGTGTTTGTAGATTGAATACAGGCAAAAAGATCGTCTTCTCTGTCGAAAAACGTGAAATAGACTGAAACCGGCTATCTTTAAAACCCGGAACGGGGAATGGGGGGACGGGGAATGGGAGAACGGGAAGTGGGGGAACGGGGAACGGAGGGAATGGAGGGGCGAGGGGGGAGGGAGGAAATAGGAGACAGGGGGCGGGGGAGGTCTGCCAGATTCTATAAACCACAACTTTGTAGTTTGTACAACATCTACTTTTAGGTATTCTACCTAGATAGTTAGATACATGACACAAACCATAGGCTTCACATATTTCACGGCATGGTTTGCTTTCAAAACCCTGTGAGCATGCACAAAACCTAACTCACTAACTGCATCTATATAAATAGTTGTCGAATAAAGCTCAATATTTTGGACACAAAAATGTAAACAAAGACTTTGTTTACATACGGACTGTAGATCACCTTTAACAATAATTTATCCATTACTTATTATTAAAGGGGATAGCAATGGCCGTGGGTCACGTGTGTGGCCGACATACCGCGAATGAATAGGGGGGTCTGGAGGCATTAACTCCCCAGAAAATTTTTGAAATTTCAAGCCCAAAAATGCCATTTCCTGCCGTCTGAGCATCTAAATTTTCTAGAATTTATCCTAACTATACTTCTATTTGAAATAAAAGAAGGAAAAAACACACAAAGAATTTTAAAAATATTAACAATAATTTATCATTACTTAGTGTTAGAAACACGTAGGATGCGCACGCGGTGACACAGTCCTTTAAATCGATTCGTTAAACAAGGACAAAGGATAAAGCCTAAAACTTACGTTCCGTTTATCAATTTGTTATTCTTCGCTGGTTTGTTTGTATAAATTTAGGAAAAGGGACTTTTTCTGGGAGGGGTGCAAAATGTGATTTCGTGTGGGGGGGGCACAAGGGGGGACTGGGGGTGGGGCAAATGGCCCCCCAGCTTGTATGTTAAAAAAGGCCCTGCAGGACAAATCCAGTTTTCAAGTGAGCCTCAGAACGTGCATTTTCATTTCCGATCAGCCTGCATCAGAGCAAAGTATCCAAGCTTTCTTGGCGACGTTCTCGTTCCTCCAGACTTTCCTCCCCTTCTCAACCAGGTGATCTCGTGTTCGTATTTTAGCCAATCAGCGCTCAGAAAGGGTTGTCCGAATAGAAATCCATTTTGATGTATTCAGACAATTATATCTTTCATTATTCTTTATGAAACTAGTTGAAATTTTGTAATTTTGTTTGGTTATGGGAACTATAGCTCTGACAAAAATATGGAATCGAAATAAAGTATATTACAGGAGATATTCAGTTGTTTTAATCATAAAATGGATTTCTATTTGACAACTAGTGCCAGTATTTTTCCGCGTATCAAGATCACCTGGAAGGTGGAGCACGTCCAAAGGCTTGCAGGAGAGTTTGGCTGGGTCCTTTAGAAACGTACTTGCCAACTTAAATTGCTAACTTAAAATCTGCGTATTTTGAAGTATTTTGTGTTTTGTTAGTTTTGCTTTGTAAGATATTTAAAATAGGATAATCACTTTAAGATATCATATGGAGCATAAGGACCGCCTTGGGCTTGAATCTAGTCCTTAAGTTTGTTTTATTATATAGCAAGTATATTAGTAATGACATAAACAATGTTATTATTATTAATATTACTTAATGATCGGACATAAGCAATGTGGATTGACTTTTTTATGATACGCTGTACTAATAAAGGAAAGCTTCGCTAAATTTCTTTACTAGTTTTAATTCATTGAGCGGTTTTCTAATTCCCAAGACACCAGAGTCCGTTTTATAGTTTCGTAATTCCCTGATTCCCGTTTATCCTGTCGAATTTCTGTTTCTTTTTTCTGTTCTTTTCCCCCCGTACATATGATTAATATGTATTAATAATAATTCATAATTGCTCGATTCCCCCCCCCCCCGTTACTCGTTCCTCCATTCCCCGTTCTCCGTTCCCTCCATTACCTGTTCCTCCATTCCCCGTTCCCCCATTCCGCGTTTTTCGACAGAAAGGACGATCTTTTTGCCTGTATCCAATCTACAAACACTAAAAACAAGTTTACTAGTCGTATTTTACTCGTATGTACTCGTATTCTACTCGTATGTACTCGTATGTACTTTTGTTTTACTCGTATGTTACTCGTATGTACTCGTGTGTTACTCGTATGTACTCGTATGTTACTCGTATGTACTTGTGTGTTACTCGTATGTACTCGTATGTACTTGTGTGTTACTCGTATGTACTCGTGTGGTGTTTTAGTCACGATCAGTTTTTGGTGGCCATGCATGCAAAAGTGGGCCGCTTATTTTGCCTACGAGTTACGTGGACGTATAATTATTGCTGTTACATAAACGTTCCGGTGTTCAAGAGCTACATATAGCCGATAAAAATTGCGTGCACATAATAATCGCCGATCACATAGCTTTATCACAGTCTCAAACCTTCAGACAAACATATCTACATTCCTCTCCCCCCCCTTCGGACATCCTAACACATTTTTCCTCTCCCCCCCTTCGGACATCCTAAGACATTTTTCCTCCCTCCCCCTTCGGACAGCAAAAATTTCCTCCGTGGGGGGGTATGGATCTTTTCTGGAACGACCCAATGCACCAGTCAGTGGAATGCCCCGCACCCCCCTACCTGGGGAATAGCGGGGAATTATTGAGAGATTGAACCTTACAGTATATTCGACCATGCTACACAGGGATTTAGACTGTATTAGTTATATTATTAGGTACCGGGGACTTTGGCAGGACTTATATCGGGGATTAGACATAGCCGCCATCTTGAAAACGAAAAAGGACTGGGAATGAGCAAGGAAAGCGAGCTGATAATTTTGCGAACGAACTGACAATTATCTCTTGTGTTATTAGGTCACCGTTTTATTTTCTTGAAGGTTATTGTAAACCATTTAGATGTTCTATTTTTTTAAGCATTCAGTATGGACCATAGATATGACTTAAATTTTAAGTAAAAAGGGAAAGGCCCAGTTTTTAGGGGCCCCGAACAATGAGCAAACCTAAATCGAACTGAAAAGAATCCAGTTTAATAGATGTGCGAAATTAAGTACGAATAAGGTAGTATTTATCAAATAGGTCTATTTCCTTTAGACAGATATTCTTTGTAGATATTGTATGATGGGCCCGGAGAGCAGGGACATTATTTGTGTTTAGGCAAGTGGAAGTGGCCCATATAGCGGAGAGTGAAATAGAGCAAGGTCTTGGTCTAATGTCCCGCTGTTCCCCAGGTAGGGGGGTGCGGGGTATTCCACTGACTGGTGCATAATGCTCACAATTTCTTTCTTATATAGTTTTGCGGTTCTGAGTGTGTACTATCTTAGTCTTTACAAATGAATGGTGCCATCTGAAGCTGACATATTAAACAAAAATGTCGACAAATATAGATTTTGTCTCCCATCAGCAGATTGTTCAGTTGTTCTACAATAGATGTAGCTTTGAAGGTGCCATTAAAACAATAATTGGGGAAAAAACTGACTTAGTATTTCTATATATGAAATTGTTATTAAATTCTATGTGTCCAATGATTCATTCAAGTATTATTATTGTTTATACAACCTGATTCCAGGATCCCTACGATTTTCGTTAGTAACATCCGATCTAACCGCAACCGTAGACATAGAACAAGGCGAAATGGGCGGAATATTAATAATTTAATATCTGTGAGGCACAATAATCTTATAGAAACTACTAGTCGTTCTAACCCTCATGCACTTCCGAGCTTTGGCCTAATAAATGCCCGCTCGTTATTGCCTAAGATCGACGAACTTGCTGTACTTCTGGATGGTAACCCAATGGATCTAGTGGCTATAACAGAATCGTGGCTACACAAGGATGTTGATGATAGCTTGATATCAATCAGTGGCTATAATATCCACCGTAACGATCGTACAGGTAGCCGGGGCGGTGGTGTGTGCGTTTATTCTTTGAAAAACATTCCCTGTCAACGGAGACTAGATTTTGAAAATCCGAATTTTGAATGTCTTTGGTTATGGATCCGCCCGACACGACTGCCAAGACCTCTCTCGGCTATTGCAGTTTGCGCTGTGTATAACCCCCCTGGCAGAACTGCTGAAGAACTACGTGATCTTGATGAATATCTGATGAACACAACGGATTCCATTAGGAATTGTTATCCTAATTGTAGAATCGTATTCCTTGGTGATTTTAATAATTTTGATGTTTCGAACCTAACCCGTAGTCTTAGTTTGAAGCAAGTCGTTTCTGCTCCTACAAGGGGGTCATCTACCCTTGATCTCATCGTCACCGATTTACAAGATTTTTATGA